CCACACGGCCGCCGTGCGTATAGCCATATTGAGTCGGCCACACGGCCGCCGTGCGTATAGCCATATTGAGTCGGCCATACGGCTGCCGTGCGTACATAGCCATATTGAATCTTATCCACACGGCCGCCGTTCGTATAGCCATATTGAGTCCGCCACACGGCCGCCGTGCGTATAGCCATATTGAATCTTATCCACACGGCCGCCGTGCGTATAGTCTCGGCCTGTTTTCTCTCGTATAGCCTCTAGACAAGGCTCTACTACTAGTAGTAGTACTAGTGAGTAGTGTTCAATCATAGTTTGGGACCGCGGTATATATAGTTCGCATATACCGCGTTCACACGGTAATGGTTTGGCTCGAGCCAAATGGGCTAAATTTGCTCGGGCTAAATTTGGATCGGGCCTGTTTTAGTCGGAGCGTTCACACGTACGCAAGTGAATACTGTCTGTCAAATTCAAATTCAAATTTTACTGCACAAATATCTCGCAGATACTTTGGCAGTATGTCGCGAGATGTCAGCGTTGTGTACGATTCAGAGTGTTTGCTTCCGTTCCGAGTTCAATTATCAATCTTGAAAACGTGCATCCTGATCAAATTTTTCGAATTTTTATACTGTTTTGGACTTTATTTCGTCGAAGTACACGTTCGACACACGCGGCATCTACCGATTTAGCTGGTGCTAAAATTTGGCTCGGGCCTGGTCAGACGTTATCGATGGGACCAAATTGGCACGTGCCAAATTGGCATGGCCCCGAAAAACCATCCGTGTTAACGCTCGCCTCGAGCCAAATTTTGCCGGGGGCCCAAATAGGCTCGGGCTAAAAACGTTTGTGTGAACGCGGCTATAGATGCTAAACTAGGATTGTCCAGCTCTAGTCTGGCGTTATTGGTTGATGAGCACTAAAACGAATAATTGGCGAGTTTGCGACTCGACAAATTGACCTGTCATATCCATGTGGGAAAATGAGCTATAATTTACAGGCCTCGATGCTTATTTTCAGATGTGGTTGTCTTGTCGGACAACAAGAAATAATTTTAACTTGTCCGAATTTTGACTTGCAACTTAGTCCTTGGGCGCTTTGTGAGACTGCTGTACCAGTTACTGCTTGCATAGTCAAAATTACATTGAATTAGGGCAGAAACTAGTAATCTTTTATGTGGCGTGTTTAATTACTTAGCTTTTCTGGAAAGAAATTTTAATCTTTTGGTAACCTTTTTTACAAACTTAATTCCCATTACCACACCATGCACTCATGGAGTCTTCCAAGTCTATTCCTAGATACTTAACTGTATTTTCATGTGCAATTGCCACCCCATTACATCTGATGTCCAGCGTTCAGCTTTTGATTATCACTGAGTTTGTGTTTAGTTCCAAAAATAATTCTTTTTGTTTTTCCAAGATGAAAGGATAAATTATTGTCATTGAGCCATTTATTAACGGAAAGCAATTCTCTACTTAATTCTTCCTGTATAGCCTGTACCTCTGTCCCTGAAACTACTCGGGCCGAATCGTCAGCATATATAATAAAAGCTTGACGCTACCTGCCTTTGCCATATGTCATTAACATTGATCAGAAATATGAGAGGACCCAAAATCGATCCTTGGTGGAGCCTTGGCTTCAGTGCACCCCCCCTTATATTACCAATTAATTTATTAAACTATTATACATAAATTTCTTCAGTTGTCCGTCGGGCAACTAGCCAAAAGGGATATAACCTTGTCCGACATAAGACCTTTAATTTGTCTTTGGCAAATTTGCCAGTATCGTTAGTGTTGAATTTAATCACCTAAGTATCATCTAACCTGTTACTTGATAACCTGATTTATCATCTAAAGTTTATTGATTACAAAATTTAAATATATCTTAAAATCTTATGTGGCTTTAGTGTATCTGAACCTAGCCATCATGAGACAGAATAACCAAACACACAATCAATGATTAGCGCAGTGGCGTCAAGCCCAGTATGCTAGCCACTGTAGGCCCGCGGCCTACACTTTTTTTGGCCAGTTATCCTTTTTTTTTTTCAACACACATAATTCAAAATCCATAAGCTTGCTGGCACGAGTTTATAGAGTCTAGACAGGAAAAACTATTGAAATGACGTTCAGCAAGAATATCGGCTAAATTAGGTGACCTATTTCTTCTTCCATTCTTAGGCTGTCATTTCTAATCGCCGTGCCGTTTCATTAAATCATCTACCCGCCGAAAATGACGTAGGAAGGGATCGGATCCTTGTCAGGTTCTTATTAAACATCTTTAACGTCCCGCTTCGTAACACTATTTTAACTCGTTTGTTCTTTTTGGCCGGTTTAAAAGTCATATTGAATGCAGGTGTCTCAACTTAGCAAAGAGGCCAGGCGAACCAGAATGAACACTCGGGAAGGGCCGTTTCCAGCCATCTGGGGGTTTGTAAAACAAAAATTTTCTTGTACGCTCCGCTCAGATCCGTCGCTCGCCTACAGTTTGAAATCCTGGCTACGCCCCTGCATTGCTGCATAGGTCATCGGGCCCTAGACTAGTTCTGAGTGATGGGAATCGCCGTTGGAATTTCTCATCGCTCCATCGGTGCCACCCAACCGCTGGCACTCCGATCTACTTCGGCTTGAATGCATTAGTGATCACGGTTAACCACGATATTGAAAAATCATATCATCATTACGTCTCGACCTCCGCCTAAGCCACTATACACAAGTCCGAAAAAATCGGCAAGGCCGAAGCTCCACAAATGTCACAATCTTTTCTCTTGTTTTTACTGAATAAATCTTTGGACTTAAGCCAAAATTCACACAGGTCCGACTCCCTCCTCTGGCTATTCCGAAGTAAGAATTCGGTAGTCCAATGCCTCTTCCAAAACCTGCATTAACTCTCACCTCGACGCTGAAAGTCGGAGGCTCTTGTTTTCACCAGCGTTCACACACCTGCACCATTGCACCAATCTAAAACGTTTTTGTAGAAAAAACATTCCTGAAGGTTGCGCACAACGAGAAAGTTACGCTCATTCTTACTGATGTACCATTACCCGCCCTGTGTTCTCTCTCCCCTATACGTCTACTTCATACACGTAAAGTGTTAATTCTTCCTGACTGCATTATCACCAACCACACACCTCGACCACAACCCCGACGCGGCAATCCATTTGAAATGCTCCCCCTTCTCTGGCCGGCGGCGCGGGCCGGGGGGGGGGCACCGTCGGGCGAACGCGCCGCGCTCTGGCCGGCTTCAGCGCCGACTCAACATTTCTTGAAATTTAGACCCTAGTGCGTTTTCCTGGAGCGGGGGCGCGTCGACTCCCCTGGACCCCCCCCTAACGTAAACACACACCCACGAAAAACAAAAAAACACACAACACACACCTGCATTTGGTTGTCGATAAGATTACGAACAAGGGTGTCTACAGTGCAGTCATACACACATCAAGAACAACAAACCAAGCAGAAAACCAATCATTTTGGTGTTCGAGCCTGGTTTACATCACCAAAATACAATTGATCCCGGTTTATTATTGTCCTGGTTCGCAGTCATAGTCAGAATATGCCGGCCGTGTATATATTAATATCATCTCGAATTTGCAATAAAATTAACATTATTAAAAAACCGGATGCTCAGGTTACTCAGTGTCCTCTTTGCGTGAATATATCTCGTGTTCCCAGCTTAATCCTTGAATCAGTGTCTCAATGTGCAGTGATATCTGCCTAAACTATTTATAAAAATTAACTTATCTCTTGGAATGATGTTTCTTGCATAAGAATTATTTATATAAGAAAAGAACCGTGCTTAATAAAGCAAACGGTACTAAACATTTATCAAGACACATTTTTCTTAAGTTGTGCATGATATTATTATGCTCCCAAATGCCCAACTTGAATGAAATGAAGCGTGACTAAGAAAAAAGCGGAAAAGACCAGCCAATCGTGACGCACTATCACACACAATAAAAGAAAGGCTTCTCACTTTTACAAAAAGCACACACACACACACACACACACACACACACACACACACACACACACACACACACACACACACACACACACACACACACACACATACTTACACACAAAATCATAGTGATCCAAAACCGGGGGGGGGGACATTTGATATGATGTCCCCCCTCTGAAAATTCGGGGGGGGCATGTCCACCTGTCCTCCCTGGATTTGCGCCCCTGATGAACACACATTGCGATAAAGGCAACACTAGCGTGAAGTGTAATTGAAAACATCAATATTAACACAATACATGTACACGCGACCCACAGCGATGCAATAGAAACATGCAGTTACTGTAAGTCGAAAAAAATGTTGACTTCCACTTAGGTGGATTTCCACATAAGTCAACTTTTCCTCCAGTCCCGTTGGATTCGACTTGGGCAAGGTCAACGGTATTATATAATACAGTATTTTTTATAATAGACCTACAATATTCTAAAACCTATGTAACAGTATTGTACATGCTTATGTTTCGTGTAGCTTAGATTTACTGTCTCGAAGCTGTAAAGTAACCAAAAGAAATACACAAAAATGAAATAAAGTGTCATTTCATGAATTTTTGCAAATTTTATTAAATTGAAATTTTTTTTTTAATAATCGATTATTAATTTGCAAAATCGAGCGCTTACTCGATTAGTTCGATTATAATCAATCACCGGGACATCACTACCAGTCTGTATGTATTTTGTGCGTGTTTTATTGTCAGGTTTGTTTAGCGTTATTACGTAGCAGTGTTTTTACGGATGCCTTTCTTGCAACAACGATTGCCTATATACATACATGAGAATTTTCCGCGGATCCACGGATTTCCATTTGTTTAATTATTTTTCCAAGCATAATGAGAAATTGCTTAATTCGTGTAGATCCGTGTATATTTTCTGTCCGCAGGAAAGCGGACGACCAAGAGAGGAACTTGCATCGGGGAGGAAAGTGAGAGAGGAACCTGCATCGGGGAGGAAAGTGAGAGAGGAACTTGCACCGGGGAGGAAAGTGAGAGAGGAACCTACATCGGGGAGGAAAGTAAGAGAGGAACTTGCATCGAGGAGGAAAGTGAGAGAGGAACCTGTATCAGTGAGAAATAGAGATCTCGATCACCGCCTGCTCGATGGAACCTTCTCTTCCTTCTGCTTCTTCTTCTCTGAAACCGTACGCGTGTGACACGTGCAGTTACCGATGCTCCCAGAGTGAAGGGTTGAAGGAGCACGCGCGCACGCACACGGGAGAGAAACCGTACGCATGCGACATATGCGGCTCCGCCTACGCCACCTCCCGCAGCCTCAAGAAGCACTTTCTCGCGCACACGGGAGAGAAACTGTATTCGTGTGACACGTGCAGTTACCGATGCTCCCAGAGTCACATGTTGAAAAAGCACGCGCGCACGCACACGGGAGCGAAACCGTATGCGTGCGATGTATGCGAGTACAGGAGTTCTCGGCTGGCGCATCTCAAGAGGCACGCGCGCACGCACACGGGAGAGAAACCGTATGCGTGCGATGTATGCGAGTACAGGACTTCTCAGCTGGCGAATCTCCAGATGCACGCGCGCACGCACACGGGAGAGAAACCGTACGCGTGCGACATATGCGACTACAGGAGTTCTCACCTGGCGAATCTGCAGATGCACGCGCGCACGCACACGGGAGAGAAACCGTACGCATGCGATATATGTGAGTACACCTGCACCAGCTCCAGCAACCTTAAAGTGCACTTTCGCGCGCACACGGGAGAGAAACCGTACACATGTGACGCGTGCGAGTACAGGACGTGCTCACGCAACAGCCTGAAGAGGCACGCACGCACGCACACGGGAGAGAAACCGTACGCGTGCGATGTATGCAAGTACAGGAGTTCTCGGCTGGAGCAGCTCAAGAGCCACGCGAGCACGCACACGGGATAAGCGTGCGACACATGTGAATACAGGTGTATGAGCGCCAGCGACCTCAAGGTGAGAAACCGTACACGTGTGACATCTGCTCTTTCATGGGCTTATCCTCGGCCACTCTCTCGAAACACATGCGCACGCAGTCGCTCCGAAGAAAGGCCATGTACAATCAATTTGGAGTGATGTGATGGACGGGTCTGCGAGTTAAACATCTAATTCGTCAGACGTTAAACGTGTGGATACAGGTGCACTCTCTCCAGTAGACTCCAGTGACGTACACTCAGGCTTGTATAAGAGAAGAAATCCTGAAAGGCGATGTGCATGCAATCATGGGTGATGTGACTGACATTCTACCGATTAAACAGTTAATAAGCCAGTTCGTAGTTACGCACTGGCGTCCTATGATGTCATCGGGTCATAGGTCATTTGTACATAGCTGAAAAGTTGGATCGCGCATTCGCTCGTACGCACTTGCCGTATACTACTACATAGTATGCATGAATGCTATACAAAAGCTATGTAAAATCGTACGTACGTTTGTTTTCTGTACTGAACCGATCGACTATATGCCTGTGCTTTTTATTTTTTGGATTTTTACATATATAGATATAGATTTAATTATATTGATTCATGTTTAATGCACATCTAACTACATGTATATGAACAAGGAGGAATGTTAACCTCTAAATACATTGTACAAGCAATTAAAGCAATGCAAATGGGGAAATTGTGTACGTGTATACTTGTATGAAACCTGCAAATGTGATAATTTATAATGTAGCAAGTTTTAAAAATAGCAATGAAATAAATGCGTTTCTATTTTAGAGCCAGCAGGGAATAAACGTGCATCATCATTTCTTATATTTCTTATTATTAATATTTATGAAAACCTTCAATTTGAATGAAATCAATGAAAGTACCATTTGATAGTAATAATAAAAAATATATGCGGTACTCCTGTTTCGTGTGTAAATGGTATTTTAGCTGGCATAGTATGGACATATATTGTAATCAAAATACTAATATCTGAAATAGTATGCATTCAAACAATGTTATGTTTATTAATAAATTATATTTAATTATTGAATGTTCGTTGCTTTATTAAGTATATAATTGAGAATGAGATGTAACTGCATGTGTATGCATGATGCAATGAGAAAATGGTGATGGAGACGTCAGGTGTTTATGATGACAATTACAGAAACTTTGGTGAGGATGAAAAATATTAAGGAAACCTTTCAATAAATGATGGACTTAAAATAGTTTTAGAATGTCTTAATTCTCACGTGTACAAATAGCTACTAGGTAAACTCGAAAGTTGTTCACACATGCATCTTTACGTTATTGGCATAATTACCTCCGCCAGGGGCTTGGCGGGGGTTATGTTTTCACCGGCGTGTGTTTGAGTGTTGGTTTGTGGGTTTGTGAACATGCACGTTTCAGTTCACTTCTGCTAGGTGCGCTGGCTGTAGACTTACAAACACGCAACCACAGGCTAAGGGGCAACCACAGTCCTCCCCTACCTGCACGCTCGCACTTAACGAATATCTAGGAGGTATACAACAGTAAGCTCCGCAATTGTTCACCAATGTTGCACTATTTCGTCTCTAGAAATGGCCTTTCTTGGCATTTTTTTTCGCCGAAATTTGGCACTAGAGTGCAATAATTTGCATTATGCACGCAAGGTGGATGCCTCGTGGACGTCTAGAAAGCATTAGAAGTAAAATTATTCGTGTTGTGTAATTGTGCCATTCCAGCTAGTGGCGTAGCCATGGTCGCCGGTCGGCCATTTTTGTGTATGAAACTGGATCCGACTACTCTGTAGAAATTCGCATCATAGAGCTGGCAAAAGTTTCGAGCGGAGCATAGAGCACGAATCTGTAGTTATTTAACATGAATGTATATTTTTTGTAAGCGCAGTAACAGTGTGCGTATCTTTAATTAATTTCTGTTCGATGCTTATTCAGGCCTGCAGCCTATGGACGCCCTCTACTGTTGCTCAACACCTCTATCTATCAATCTATAGGTTTGTTTGTGTACAGCCTAACTGAAAAGGTTATGGACGGATTGTCATAAAATTTTCAGGATAGGTCAGAAATACGGGGAGGAAAGTAAGAGAGGAACTTGCATCGAGGAGGAAAGTGAGAGAGGAACCTGTATCGGGGAGAAATAGAGATCTCGATCACCGCCTGCTCGATGGAACCTTCTCTTCCTTCTGCTTCTTCTTCTCTGAAACCGTACGCGTGTGACACGTGCAGTTACCGATGCTCCCAGCGTGAAGGGTTGAAGGAGCACGCGCGCACGCACACGGGAGAGAAACCGTACGCATGCGACATATGCGGCTCCGCCTACGCCACCTCCCGCAGCCTCAAGAAGCACTTTCTCGCGCACACGGGAGAGAAACTGTATTCGTGTGACACGTGCAGTTACCGATGCTCCCAGAGTCACATGTTGAAAAAGCACGCGCGCACGCACACGGGAGCGAAACCGTATGCGTGCGATGTATGCGAGTACAGGAGTTCTCGGCTGGCGCATCTCAAGAGGCACGCGCGCACGCACACGGGAGAGAAACCGTATGCGTGCGATGTATGCGAGTACAGGACTTCTCAGCTGGCGAATCTCCAGATGCACGCGCGCACGCACACGGGAGAGAAACCGTACGCGTGCGACATATGCGACTACAGGAGTTCTCACCTGGCGAATCTGCAGATGCACGCGCGCACGCACACGGGAGAGAAACCGTACGCATGCGATATATGTGAGTACAGGAGTTATCAGCTGGTGAGTCTCCGGATCCACGCGCGCACGCACACGGGAGAGAAACCGTACGCATGCGATATATGTGAGTACACCTGCACCAGCTCCAGCAACCTTAAAGTGCACTTTCGCGCGCACACGGGAGAGAAACCGTACACATGTGACGCGTGCGAGTACAGGACGTGCTCACGCAACAGCCTGAAGAGGCACGCACGCACGCACACGGGAGAGAAACCGTACGCGTGCGATGTATGCAAGTATAGGAGTTCTCGGCTGGAGCAGCTCAAGAGCCACGTGCGCACGCACACGGGATAAGCGTGCGACACATGTGAATACAGGTGTATGAGCGCCAGCGACCTCAAGGTGAGAAACCGTACACGTGTGACATCTGCTCTTTCATGGGCTTATCCTCGGCCACTCTCTCGAAACACATGCGCACGCAGTCGCTCCGAAGAAAGGCCGTGTACAATCAATTTGGAGTGATGTGATGGACGGGTCTGCGAGTTAAACATCTAATTCGTCAGACGTTAAACGTGTGGATACATGTGCACTCTCTCCAGTAGACTCCAGTGACGTACACTCAGGCTTGTAT